ATTTTTCTTGCAGAGGTTTTAGATTTAATGAGTAAATAAAATAAAATAGATTGTAAGGTAAAATAACTGAGTTGTCCAAGCCCTGCAAATTATATTTGAAGTCAAAAAGTTGAAATCCCAGCCAGCTATGATCTGTTTACTTCTTTTCTGTATTCTTGGCAGAAGATTAATTACAGGGACATGTCCGATTACTTCTCCTACTTAATGGAGGACTATTCATTCTACTTATGGTATTACTTCTTGATTGTCTCATAATACATGGCTGTAGAATATGCAGCATAAAAAAGCAAAAAAGCCCTTGCCCACATTGTCCTTCATAGGTCAGTAATTGCTAATGGGATATAAGATCAGTTCCTCCTCCAGGGCAGCAGTACACAGCTGTCCCAGGTGGGTAGTGATTATGTGTCATTATAAACTGAACCTTGTTCAGTGTTCTGTCAGAAATGAGAATTTTGTACTCAATCCATTTCTTAATGGGCAGGTGTTACAAACAAGTTGGTATTAACTGGCAACACTGTTAATGATCTCAGTAGAAATCCAAAGATGTGAAATGAACAAGAGGATAAATGCTGTGATTGCAGAGGTGATCTCTAAATAGCCACATTTTCTTAGTTTTTTTGGAGGACTTGTGTGGGGAACACGGGCAGCAGCTGTTTAGTAGAACAAAAGGCTTGAAATTCAAGCCATCTCAGTACGCCGAGTCAGACAAATGAGCCATCTAGACAAAAAGGTCATCCCCAACATATGTCCTCAAGAAAACACAAGAATAGAGGGAATATGTAGAATTATTTATGTGGTATATTATCTTCCCCTCCAAAGAATGCTTCTGGAGCCAGAGATTTTTATATAAAGAAACGTATTCTTTGTATCTATCCTTACTGTATTTTAGGTTCCTACTGTATTTTAATGGAAAGTGAGCCATTATTTCAAAGTCCCTTTCTATGTGTTTTTGCTTTTATATACATTTCTCATACAGTCATGTCAGCTGCTTCTTTTCCAGTCTAATTAATTCCAGTCTTGTTGCTTAATCATTATTTGCATGGAAACCATTCCATACTTTTCAATATTTGCTTTTCCTGCAGCAGCAAGATTTTATTTTTGAATGTTAATCGTCTGTTCATCTTCTGTTACAGTATAGGAAAAGTTAATGTTATCTTTCCTCATGTGTATTGTTGTATATTTATCCGTAATATTTTAGCAGCCCTTTTATCTCTCAGTCATTCAGCAACATGAGCTTATTCTGCTGCAGTTCGATTTTTTTTTTTTTTAACAGGACAAACCAGCCCTGAAACCATTGACATTTCTTCATTACTTCTTGTGTGCAGTAAACTTAGTCTATTGCTTACCATTTTATCCAGATCACTGATCAATGATAAATCAATGATTAATCAGTGATAACTCCAGACATACATATCTGGGATTCCACTGATAGTGCCCTACATAGTGAAAACTAGTTATTGACTGCAGTGTTTTGCTTGATTTATTTTAATTATTAAATTAAGTGAGGGCTTTGCTTTACTGCATAGTAAATAAGTTAAGAAACCTTTGTGGGGGATAAATTTTTTTCGTCAGCCCAAGTACGCATTAGTGATTGGTCCTCTCATGTATACTAATTGCTTTGGACAACTCTAAAAGACTTATAAGGTGTGACCTCTGTTTGCAGAAGTTACATTTGGCTTACTTCTTAACAAGCTTGTTATATTTATCCATGTGTTTTGAAGAATTCATTGAAGAATCTGTCTCAGATTGAAGTGTTGGTAGATTATAGGGCGAATTGAACAAATTGAACTGCTGGATCTATGATAGTATTTAATTGTTGTGCAGTGGCCCTTTGGCTATGGATATGTTTTGTATATTTTGTCTTTACAAAGGACAAAGAGGTTTCTACTTTCTGCACTACCATGAACTCATTAGTAGAATACGGCTTAGTAAGAAATGGACATTTGAGATTTGGAGCAGCTTGACCCCTTTCTATCCTTTCCCAATTCTTGGTCATTTCTGACCAAATCACACAGTAGGGATCATAGAATCATAGAATCACAAGGTTGGAAACGACCTATAAGATGATCTAGTCCAACCATCTTCACACTACCACTGCATGTATAAATAGTATAGACCTTGAGAGGGGGGGAACCCTCTGTGAAGAACAATTTCTGATGTGCTTATCTAATGCCAAAACTTTGAAATGTTCTACAAAGGCCAGATTTCCTTAAGAGTTTACATCAGTTTAGCGTTTTGGTAAGAATACTGTACTGTACTATTGTAGTACTATTGTAGTATCAGAATTTTGGCATTAACAGATTTTGACCCTAAAAGGTTTTTTGTCCATTTCTTCCTTTTAATTTATGAATCCAGTGAAGGATTTTTGAAGATTCTGATCATTACCTACATGGAGATATTTCTTCTTTACACTAGTGTCCTACTACAGCATTTGACTGAATTATAAGAAACCACACTAAAATACTACATTGATAGCCTCTTAAAAGAACAACTGAAATTTTTCATGAAACAGCCTTTTATGTATAAATTATCTAGATATTATATGTATCTGGAGAGTGGAATGGATGGGAGAAATAGGTGAAGATGTTTGGGGAAATTTTATGTTGTCTTCTGATTCCTTGATTTAAATTCAACGAGCATATTCAAGCATTTATGTTTGATTGTAATAAGCTACCTTCTGTTTTATTCTTAGACATTTCAGTTTCTGAACAGTCATATTATATTGTATTGATCATTTGTAGCTTTAGATTTCTTGCAGTTCTGCCAATGAGTTTTATTGTGCAGAATACTAAAATATGCATGAGATTTTTCACCATGATATTACCAAGTTAAAACTAAGTTTTCAAGACATCTTAGCTTTTTGTGACTAGATCTGGTACACAGAATTAGTTTTTCAGACTTGATTATCAAATATTCATGCTGCTACAACACCAGGACACATCAATCAAATGAAAGCTGGATTGTTCTAGGCATTGTAAATACCCTAAATGAAACTATTTTCCCCGAAAGATTTGCTGTCTTAGAGATGCTTTTGTGTTACCAATTCTGGCAATTTTGTTACTCATTTTTCATTAATTAAGAAGTGTTCCTCAATTACTAACTCTCAGTCATCTTGTTAGAGCCTGAAAGTCAGTGGTTTTTTTTAATTTAAATAAATAAATAGAAAGATCAACCCTTACTGACTGTAAGAAAGAGCTTTAGGAAAAACACAACCCTAAAGCCTTCTGAGCAGGAAGAATAACTAAAGCAATTCCCAGAATGCTTTATAATTTGAGTAAATTTTATGGTTTTTAATACCTGAGTGTGAAAGAACTGAAGTTGGATCACTGTATGGTTTATTTGCTTTTCTAAGTGCTACTCAGTGCGTGTTTATGGCTCTTCAAAAGATAATCAACTCTCAACTCCCTTTTCTACCTCTAAATTCTCTGTACAAACTGGGACAAATTTCAATTCAGATATAGATAGCACAGATGCCTGACTTTGACCTGAATTTGTATTTCTGAATCCTCCTCATTTGCCTCTCTGTGCCTACTACAACTAACTTTATGAAGTTAAATGTACTTGTATTATGGTACTGCAGAGATGTAAATACTAATGTAAATTTCAGCTTTATTATTTTTATGCGTTTAGTAAGAAACTCCTACCTCATTCTATTGCTCATTTAATAAGCCTTTTTATGGTCATAATATGATCATAAATTTTGAATGGTACACTGAGCATTAGTTTCCATCATTTTCTAATCTGTTCCTAATTTAATTGATCTTTATCTGTAAACACTGTTTTCAAATCATTTACAAACAAAACCAGTTACCATTATTTATTTCTCTTTGTCCCTTACTTGGTCTTTGTCTCTCTGTCACTTTTTCTTTCCTTTTTACTTTTTCCTTTTTTTCCCTCCTTTTTCCTTTATTTTTGCTTCTTCACACTTTGGACATAATTCTGTACTTTCAGTCCCTGATAGACTGGTGTAAATGGATATTATTCAGAAGGAACAAACTGCATAGTATGCAACTATATATTGACTAAGATGTGTATCTCTTTGAAGTTCCCTGCAAGTTTTAGTGTTAGTTCTATAACAACTTTTGAACTTTCATAAATATTTTATTTTGAACACATTTTATACTGTTGTTGCCTTCATGCATTAGTTAAATAGTAGCAAGCATAAGATGCATGAATGAATGAACAGGCTGAACCATCTCTATATAATCTCTACTCCAGAGTTGACTAATATATGGGCCAATTCCTCTAACTTAATTTGCAATGGCATTTGTAAACATTTGTTTTATTTTCTTTGATATGTTTTAATAACATGAGTTAAGTAGATCATAAAAGTGAGTTCTCACTGTTCTGAGATCAGGACATTCTGTACTGCTTAGAGAGCATCAGCAATCTTATATTTCAAGTAGAAGCATTTGAAGGGAAACTTCAGAGGGGAAATTTCAAAATTCTGCAGTTCATACATGGATAGAGGTAACACAGAAATCAGAATTTTAATTCAACTATTAAATAACACTAGGAATAAAAGTCAGTTAAATAAATAATAAACCAGTCTTATTGACTACTGTAGTCCTTTCATTGGGATATTATTGTGTCTTTTTCTTTGATGGTTGTTTGAGACATGTTAAGGAGTTGCACAGATAAAATTAATTTAAGCTAAAAAAGTTTTTTATGTTGTGTTTAACAAAAAATCAAGATGTGTGTGATTAAAACAAAGCAAATGTCCTTCTTATTGTCAGTTATAAATATTAATAAAAACATAAATGTATTTAGTGTAAAGGCAATAATAAAATTAAGTGACAAGCATAGTATCAAGGTAGCCATAGTTTCTTTCTACATAAATGATTATTTTTATTTCTCTATTAAAACGTGATTTTCTTGAATGGTTTTATTGCATGTATTGTTCATTTCTGAGACAAGCAGAGCTAGAGATGCATACTCATGGATTTTGTGCTATGTTGTCTTGTAGACTGTACTTACTGATTCTCATTTGTTCTATACAGGCTCCATCATCACCTTCTTCGCCCATAGCTAATGAACCAAAATATGAAAAGCGCTGGCTAGACACCTTGTCAGTTCCTTTGTCAATGGCTCGAATCTCGAGGTACAAAACTGGAACAGATAAATTGAGGTTTGTAATCTAAAAGGGAAAGCACTGCATGAGTTAGCTGTACATAATATTTTGCTGTGAAGTGTGAATTCTTTGACTGGAGATATGAAAGTCATGTTATTAAAACTGTACAGTCCATTATCTCTTGAGATTAATGCTGTGCATGGTGATTACCAAAGAGAAAGTAAAAAAGGAACATAAGTGTAGCTCCTACAAATATGTTTCCATAACCTACTTTATCTTGGGAATCCAGTTAGCATCAGCAGTTTGCACAGACATTAAGTCTGCCATCACTTGAATTTAATTTTTAAGATATAAACTTTTCACTCTGTATCTCTGTAATAGAATAATTCTTTATTCTCAGGTTTTGATAATGTCAGTTTACACCCCTTTTTCTTTACAAATAATAACATACTGCACAATCATCATGACTATGCCATGTAGAAACTCATATTAACACCAGATTTTTGGCAGAGTATACTCTCCTCCGTTGTATTTTTTGACTGTAGAATCTTGCCACATCTCACTTAGACAGTAGTTCATAATGCATATATGAAATAAGATAGCAGAGGCAATTGTCCTGGACTTTGGGAAATATGTGAAAGTAAAGTGAGATTTAATGAAGCTTCAGTAAATAATATACTTGAGAAAGGTTAGCAATTAGTCAAATATTGTGTTCAAGCATCAAAAGTCAATAATAATAAATTGCCCAGAAACATTTTAAATTCTTGTGCATCCTTAGTCTGAATGCCCCATCAGTTTCTTCATTCCTCCTTCAACTGACTTTTTCATTTGGTCCAACCCTTTCGAATTTACCAAAGGCCTGCATCTATTCATCATTTAGAAGTTCTCCTATAGATAAAGTGAAAAAATCTTTGTATACACATTTAACTATATGCTCATCATCAATGTTCTTGAATGTAAAGAGTATGTGTAAGAATATAAAATATTTAAGCTTCTGAGATCAGTTATCACCCTGATAGCTGAAAGCCATTTAACTCCTGTTCTGTGCATTCTATGTAATAGAATTTCTATGATATAGATATTTCTATGAATAGAATTTCTATGTAATAGAATCACCAATGTTGTAAAAGACCTCTAAGATCATCTGGTCCAACCATCTTAGGAAGGAGCAATCCTAAGTGACTGTAGAGATTCCAATTCTGAAAAGATCAGCTTGTACATTTTGAAAATGCCTACAGATAAGTTCTGATACTGTACCAGGTCTGGTTGAGATGGAATTAATTTCCTTCATGTAGCCATACAGTGCTGTGTTTTGAGTTTGTGACTAAAACAGTATTAATAATGCATCAGTGTTTTGGTTGTTGCTGACCAAAGCTTGCATAGCATCAAGGCTTCTTCTTTTTCCCGCTTTGCCGCCCTCCTCAACAAGTAGGCTGGAGTTTGGCCAGAAGTTGGTAACAGAGACAGTCTAGGCAGCAGACTTGAAATGAGAAAAGTGTTACTCTGTACCAAAACATGTTTGGCAACAAAAACTAGGGAGAGGGATTGTGGGAATATAGCCATTCTATTTTTGTGGAGATGGTGAATGATGGCTTTCGCATCACTTGTTTAGGTTTTTTTCTCACTTGTTTTGTTTTTTTTCTTCTTCCTCTTTCTTTTGCTTTTAAGATAATTTATATATTTATCCTGACCTGCAAGTTTTCACACTTTCCCAGGTCTCTCCTCTGTCCTGCTGGAGGTGGGAAGTGAGCAGCTGTGTGGATGTCTAGCTGCTATGTCCTTCAGCTCATCACAGATACAAATATTTTTCACATAAGGAAGGAGGAGCTTCATGCTTTCAGTCCCAGTCCTGGACAGATGCATTCTCTTGTGAAGCATCTGGTTCTCGTATATATTTCATGTACACAGCACTCCTTTATTACTGCTGTTCTTTTGTTTTTTGTTGTTGTTATTAAACAGCCCTAAATAAGATGGAATCCTTTCATAAAGACTATCAGCATCCCATGGTGTTTTAGTTGTACTAAATATTGCTTGTGTATTTTTGTAATCCAACAAGAATATCTAAAAGACCATTAAAGAAATAGCACCTTGAGATTAATTACAGATGAGGTTATTCCCATGTTCACTGCACACTTCACTTGTAAGAGGAAAGCAGAAAGATATTTATTGATATAAAATAGATATAATATGGTAATTAGAACAGTGATGACAGTGACTTAACAGGATTCAAAATAGTGTTCACTTTTTGCTTCCGGGTGGGGGATGCAAAAATCTAAGATCAAATCTTAGCCAAGCATGTGTAGCTTTAAAACCAATAACTCTCTTACTGAGGATTTCTTGGCAAGGTGTCACCATGTCTCGGGTGAATCTCTGTGCAAGTGTTAAGTAATCTCAACCTCGAGAGGTGACTCTACTCAAGGGGAGATTCTGGTGTGCAGCCAGCTACTTGCAAGATGGAATCTCAAAGAGATTCTTAGGCTGCTTGGTACTTATGGGGTAAGATGACTGGCTTATAGTATACATCTTAGAATTGGCTCTGTTGAATTAGATGTCTGCTATTAGTTCTCTGAGCACACAGTTTGAGACAGTGTGGTGGTCATTAACTGTCTCTGGTAAAACCTTGATTGCTGTCAGTCCAGAGGACAAGGTCTTTTGCACCTCACTGTATGCACTAGGCCTTGGGCATAACGACCAGGCAAGGCTGGGGGCAAGGAGTGCACCATGACAAGGTGTTTATTCTTATCTAATAGAACCAGACTGCTATTACCCCATTTTCTCCTTTTCTGGAATTCATATTCATGTTCTTAATATTATCCTACTTGCAGTCTTTCTTTTATGTTTATCCATGTTCATATAAGTATAAATTACAACATTTATCTCAGTAATTGCTCTCTAAAATGAAGAGTCTGCTTTGCATGAAATAAAACCTACAGATGATTGTAAGTATAAATGGTGACATCAGACAGGATAACAGTCTTCCTTTCAACCATAACGTATGAATGAATTCATGAAAATTTCCCTGAATATAACATGGATCCAGCTGACTAATTTTGCATTTCTCTGAATATTTACTTGGAATCTGTCTGCATAAATTCATAAACAACATACCTTCTTTTCCAATATGACTTTGTGAGTCTTTGTATCGTTTTTTTCACATTTTGTCTCCCTCAAGTTCTCTTCATGACTTTGTTTTGCTGTAATGCTTCTTTTGATATTTGCCCCTTGTTAGGTCAAACAGAATCTGTTACTGAAGAACATATTTTTGTTGCCTTTACTTTAAAAAATACAGAGTATAACAGTGTATCGCGTGCCAGCATCTATCTCAATATTTTTGACCATATTTCAATTCGAAATAGGTTTTATATCTAGTGCTGTTTGTTAGACTATAGTATAAATTTTTGTGACTTAGATCAGATCTAGTTTAATTTCAATAGATTAAGAAATATTTTTTCCTTTGTGGTTAAAAGATGTCGTTTAATTACCTCAGTTTAAATACACTGGAATTTTCCAGAAACTTCGTCAAGAAAGGACACACTTTTACCTTTTGTGTCCTGAGATAATCAGGAACATCTGTATCTGTTCAACTATTGTTCTTTTTTTTTTTTTTTTTCAATGCCTTTTCCCACAAAGACTGAAGACTGGTGATTTAACAACACAAGTATATTTTTGATAGATTTTGTCAGTAGCATACATACTTCAAAAATAAAAAAAGAACAAAATAGATGTTTTTCCTTCCTTATACTTAAGAAGAAGAAATACATTGCAAAGAGTATGAAGTGTGTCTTCTGTATAATGAAACAAAAGAAAAACATCCCAATCACAGAATAATTCAAAAGAAAGACGAAAATTGTATTTGATGTTCCCCATCTTCTTTCATAGAATCATAAAATCATTTAAGTTGGAAGGAGACTTTAAAGGTCATCTACTCCAACTCCCCTGCAGTGAACAAGGACACGTACAGGTTGCTGATAGCCCCATCCAGCCTGACCTCGATAATTTCTGAGGATGAGGCATCCACCTCCTCTTTGGGCAGGCCATTCCAGTGCTTCACTACTTTTATTGTAAAAAACTTCTTCCTTATAGCCAATCTAAATCTCCCTTCTTTCAGTTTGAGATCATTTCCTTTTGTTCTATCACAGCAGAACCTGCTAAAGAATCTGTCCCCTTCTTTCTTAGAGCCTCTCTTTTGATACTGAAAGGCCACTCTCAGGTCTCCCCAGAGACTTGTCGTCTCCAGACTGAACAGCCCCAGCTCTCTCAGCCTGTCCTTGTGTTCCCCCCCTTGAATCATTTTTGTGGCTCTCATCTGGATGCACTCCACCTCAAGTCTGTGCTGAGGACTCCACACCTGGACACAGTACTTCAGGTGAGGTCTCACCAGTGCAGAGTAGAGAGTCAGGATCACTTCCCTTGACCTGCTCACTGCCATTAATCTTTCCTCCATTTATAGTTATATCTTCAGTAGGTGTGAACATCAAGATAAGTGTATTGAGTACCCAAATCCCCTTCAGTTAGTGCAACTGATATTGTTGATGTCATTAGAGTATATTTGTCTGTAACATGTGAGTTTAGTCTATTCTTTTTGATTACTTACTATTACCTTGCCTTTGCAATATAGCACTGCTACTTTTATCATTCTGCAGTTCTTGCCATTTTTCCATGTGGGGTAATATGTACAGTAAACTGTATTCCTGTGAGTACACACAATTGCTATAACAATAGAAGCATTTTTTCACTGGCAGAGTTCATCACTAAATTCAGCGTAAGTAAAATAAGTATGTCTTGCTCACCCAAGAACTTGTTGTTCATGGTGTAGTTTGAGGCTTTTTTTAATTTCTAATGCTAAAAAACAAATAGTAATATAGATGTTGGAGAGTGTAGTACCATTCATTTATAATCTTTATTTTTCTTACAGAATGTCTAAATACTTAGTTGAAAATATCTATAGTGCTTACAGCAGATAGTAGATAGTCGTAGATAATCATTTTTATTTGCTGTATTGACAGGAACTTTAAGTGAAGGTGGCTATACTTCTTGCACATTATGAGTGTAGAGAA